GTAAATACTTGAAGATGATGAGGTTGAGAGAGTAAAAATGCCATTTTCGAAAAAAAATTCAAAAAACATATAAATGGCATTTTCGTAAATAAAATGAAGATGTGGGGTGAATAGGACAAAAACAAGATGAGTCAAAAGAAGAGGTTAGTTTTGTGTTTGACTTGGAGTTTTGAGTCAAATTTGCAAAAAGCCCTACTATGATTTTGAATTTTTCAGATATTTAATTAGTTTTAGTTTGGATTCAGATATTTTCTAGTTTTTTATTTAATCTTAGTAATAGTATGTAAATAAAAAAAATTATATCTATACTATTAAAAAGGAAATAGTCTTGAAAAATCTACTTATACAAAGTTATTGCATCATTTCATTAATGGTAAATAGTCATTTTATTTATTGGTCTTACATTCCCCTATTATTAGCATCTAATTAATAATCTAAGTATTGTAATAAGGGATTAATATACGCTTTATTCTATCTAATTAAAACATGAACTTATGTATCTAATTATTCATCTTAGTCACATGTTATCATTTCACGTGTATACTACATATAGAAAACATTACATTAGTATTAATTAAAAAATGGATCTTTTAATAATTTTTTATACATAATCAAAAGATTGTTACTGTTTATATTTTTTAGGCATGATGACGTAAAACCAAACTTATATCTACTCAAATCATAGTCATTGGTGTATATTGGATTCGCCTTAGTAAATGTATATTTTAAAATCTATAACAGAGAATCATTTTAAAAATCTATTATTGTATTACCCAAATATAAATATTTAATATCTTTATAGTCTTACCAATTATTATCCTAATTATACAATATTTAAAATGTTTTATTATTACTACTATTCTTCATTTCATATGATACATTTTTTCTACAAATAATTTATCGTCTAACATTATGGTTGTTATGCAAAAATGTTATACACCATATCTTAATCTCGAAAATAGACCTATAATATTTAAACATAAATTATTAAAAATTTAACATATTATATCATATTATCTTACATTATATAGTTTTAAATATTTAGAAAATCAATTTGATAAAAAAAACATTTTAACAAACCATCTGTTAAAAAAAACTATATAGTACATTAATTAATTTTTATAAAAAGTACTTATAACAAAAATATGTTATTTAATAAAAGTTTAAAAGCTGTTAATAAATCTATACTATTAAATTATCCAAAATTTGCCAAGTAAATCTTAAATATTATCGACTCAGCAAATGAAACTTTTACAAAAATACACCAAAAATATAATGAGAGAGTATGAAAGGGCATTTGGGTCGAGTACGCATCGGTTTCTTGCGGATTTGAATCCCTTAGGTCCTAAACATTTGGACCTAATAAGATATTTGAAATTTATTGGTTTGTGTCAGTTTCTCTGTGTCTTAGTGGGTTTGAATCTATAATTTAAATACCTATAAATACTTATAATTTTGCATACTTAATGGTCCCATATCGGTTTGGATATTTAGAACTTGGAAAAGACTCGACGTACCTGAAAGTCCGAAAATACCCAAAACATGAAAAATTCATGAAAACCCAAACAAATACGAATATACTCAAATACTCAAAAATATCGGAAAATTAACTCGAAATCAGATCCAAAAAACCAAAAAATATCCAAACTTTTATCCAAATACCACTATATATATATATATAGATATATTTATTTTTTAAGATCAAATTTTAAACTTGAAACTATAGCCAAAAATCAAACCTAAAACTTAAAAAATACTAGTAATACCAAAAATATTCAAAATACCCAATTATATCATATACACAAAATATTTCAAGTACTTTTGGGTAGATGATCGAGTTTCGGATAGGTTCCGAAGTCAAATAGAGATCCGCGGGTCTAAAATTACCCAATAGACTTTTATCTAACCCCAACCGAACATGTATTTTTTATCGATTTTTGTTTAGATTTTCGGATCCGTGTACAATGCTCATGCCTAAAAGAGAATTATATAAGTAAAAAAAAACTCAAATAAGATACTTCATAAATTATATAATTGTTTAAAAAAATATTTTTTGGTCTAATAAAACTTTATAACATAATAATATATAATAATCTCAAATACTTTCATATAAAAATTTGTTAATAAAACAACCGCGCTTTTAAAATGCGGATCAAAATGTGGACAAGGATCAAAATCTAGGACAATGTTAAACTAGTATACCGAATATAACAAAAGAAATAATCCAGTCGAAACAGACCATTGTATATACAGTTTTCAGTTAACGAACATGACCAAAATCGCAATGAATTGACGACAGAAAGTTTTAGCTACTCCTCTGAAACGGATTTTTGATGCCAAGTTAAAACGCAGAGTTGTAACGGAATTTAGAACACATCTTCTGAAGTTGTAACGGTTTTATATCTCTGTCAGCTTCCCAATGATGGATGCTCCTGTTCCACCACCTTCCACACCAACTCTACTAGAACTCTGCACTAATCTCCTCCAAAAATCTCTAAACTCCAACAATGCTCGTTTCACAGCTCAACTGGTTCATTGCCGCGTCATCAAATCAGGTCTCTTCTTCAGCGTCTACCTCATCAACAATCTAATGAATATCTACTCAAAAACAGGCTACACCCTCCACGCACGCAAACTGTTCGACGAAATGCCTCTGAGAACTGCCTTCTCATGGAACACAGTTCTCTCTGCATATTCGAAACAAGGAGACATGGATTCCACGCGAGAGTTCTTTGATCAAATGCCTCAGAAGGATTCTGTCTCATGGACCACGATGATCGTAGGGTTCAAGAAGGTTGGTCAGTACCAAAAGGCTGTAAGAACTATGGGGGAGATGATGAAGGAAGGTGTTGAACCGACGCAGTTCACGCTCACGAATGTTCTTGCTTCCGTTGCTGCAAATGGGTCGTTGAGTACAGGTCGAAAGGTTCATACTTTCATCGTTAAGCTTCGCCTTTCGAGTAACGTTTCGGTTTCTAACTCACTGCTGAGTATGTATGCGAAATGTGGTGATCCTTTGATGGCAAGAGTTGTTTTTGATAGAATGGTGGTTAGAGATGTATCAAGCTGGAACGCTATGATAGCTTTATATATGCAGGTTGGTCAGGTTGATCTTGCTATGGCGCAGTTTGAGGAAATGGATGAGAGAGATATCGTTACTTGGAACTCTATGATCGCTGGTTATAATCAGCGAGGGTATGATCTCAGAGCTTTAGACATGTTTTCAAAGATGATGAGAGAGTCTCTTTTGTCGCCGGATAGATTCACTCTATCAAGTGTGTTATCTGCTTGTGCTAACCTTGAGAAGCTTTGTGTTGGGAAGCAGATTCATTCTCATATTGTCGCAACAGGATTTGATGTCTCTGGAATCGTGTTGAACGCTATGATCTGTATGTATTCGAGGTGTGGAGGGATCGAAACTGCGAGAAGGATTATTGAGCAGAGAGGAAGTGTTGATCTCAAGATTGAAGGCTTTACAGCTTTGCTTGATGGGTACATTAAGCTTGGAGATATGAACCAAGCTAAGGTTATATTTGACTCGTTGAAAGACCGTGATGTAGTTGCGTGGACCGCTATGATCGTTGGATATGAGCAACACGGTTTGTACGGTGAAGCTATAAACCTTTTCAGAACAATGGTTGGGGGAGGACAGAGACCGAACAGCTACACACTTGCAGCGATGTTAAGTGTATCTTCAAGCTTAGCATCGTTGGGTCACGGCAAGCAGATCCATGGGAATGCTGTAAAGTCAGGGGAAGTTTATTCGGTTTCTGTCAGCAATGCGTTGATAACTATGTATGCAAAGGCAGGTAGCATTACATCAGCAAGACGGGCGTTTGATTTGATACGGTCTGAAAGAGATACAGTGTCCTGGACCTCCATGATTATTGCTTTGGGACAGCACGGTCACGCAGAGGAAGCACTTGAGCTCTTTGAGACAATGCTGATGGAGAGGCTAAGACCTGATCACATAACATACGTTGGTGTGTTCTCTGCTTGTACTCACGCTGGTTTAGTCAATCATGGACGTCAATACTTTGAAATGATGAAGACTGTGGATAAGATTAAACCTACTCTTAGCCACTACGCTTGTATGGTGGACCTGTTTGGACGTGCTGGTTTATTGCAGGAAGCATACGAGTTCATCGAAAAGATGCCGGTTGAGGCAGATGTAGTGACATGGGGTTCACTGCTTTCTGCTTGTAGGGTTCACAAGAACGTTGATCTTGGGAAAATTGCAGCAGAGAGATTGCTTTTAATCGAGCCAGAGAACAGTGGAGCATACTCAGCCTTGGCTAACTTATACTCAGCTTGTGGAAAATGGGACGAGGCTGCGAAGATAAGAAAATCAATGAAGGATGGGAGAGTGAAGAAAGAACAAGGTTTTAGCTGGATTGAAGTGAAGCATAAAGTCCATGTCTTCGGAGTTGAAGATGGGATTCATCCACAGAAGAAGGAGATTTACATAACCATGAAGAAGATATGGGATGAGATAAAGAAAATGGGTTATATTCCTGACACAGCTTCAGTACTACACGACCTAGAAGAAGAGGTTAAGGAGCAGATTCTAAGGCACCATAGTGAGAAGCTAGCAATAGCTTTTGGGCTGATTAGCACTCCTGATAAAACCACGTTAAGGATCATGAAGAATCTAAGAGTGTGTAATGATTGTCATACGGCTATAAAGTTCATCTCCAAGCTTGTGGGAAGGGAGATAATAGTGAGAGATGCTACAAGGTTTCACCATTTCAAAAATGGGTTTTGTTCTTGCCGGGATTACTGGTGATCTAACTCAAGAGCCATTGTACAATACTTACATATCAGCACCAAACGTAGAGATTTAGGTATGGCTTGATTTGAGGGTAACCATCACTATTCTTTATTGGTTTATATGTTGTATTGCTGTCATCATTATTGAGGATTAGAATATGACGACATAGCATTTGAGACTCTTTAGTACTATAGAGATTATGGTGGTTAAAGGAGAAGGATAATATGAACGATGGAGATGTTTTGAGGAAAGCATCAAAGAGAAAGAGAGAGAGAGTAATGGAACCGAGAACAATTAAAAAGAAAGAAAGTGAAGAAGATGAAGAAGAGAATATGTTCCCTTTGTTTACAAAAGCTTTTTCTTTAATTAACATTGACTACATTATACTCCCTTCTTTCATGAAAAGTTCATACATATTAAAAATGATTAAAGTATATTGATGTTATATATTTATTTTATTTTTGATCAAAGTTGTAAATTTATGTAATCAATAATTTTCAGGATTAATAATTTTTTTATTATATCATATTTAGTAATTTATATTAAGTTCAAAATAGTATAAATTATGAATTTTAGAGTGACACTTTATATAATATTATTTGTGAAATAGGAAGAATAATTAGAGATACATAGAAGAGAAGATCTTGGTCGGCATAATATGAATGACATAACAGAGAGAGCCCACACTTGTTGGGCTTACGTGGCAGGTTCGGGCATGTCAACTTGAAGATGAATCACATAAGAGTCATTGCCCGTTGTGCCCGGAGGAACGTAGTAACAACTACGGGCAGCTTCATACACTCTCTCTCTTCTCTCTATATCTGAGTTTCTGAAAACTCTTCATTGATCACACAAATCTCAAACACTCTTTCATTCATGAACAAAGCTCATCTCTTCTAGTTTCTTTCCTTTATTCTCCAGTACGTTTATCTCCTTCTTCTTTATGTCTCTTTTGTTCTTTAACTTAAATGTTTTTTTTTTGTCACAAATGATTGTTTTGTTTAAAATTGCTGTGAAATTTTTCAGTCCTCTGTTTGTTTATAATTGCTTCTGACATAGTAGTTGTTATTGTTACTGCAGATCTAACGTGTTTCATTTAACGACAGAGTTGACAGAGAGAGAGAGGATGGAGTGGGAAGAACAAGGTTTGAAGTTGTCGTTGGTGGTTGATAGCGCTTCAGTGCTAATGCTCACCGTGTCGGCTCTAACGGCTACTGTGCTTTCCTCTTTGATAGAGCTTCTCTATCAGGCAAGTCTCTCCCTGTGTTTACCGAACTTTTTATCTTTAACATTTCTGTTACTGATTAACAAATTCTTTTTTTTTTTTTAGTATTAGACCCTAAAAGTTATAATAAGTATTATCGGGCGCAATGAACCAATTTATTTTAAAAGAAAATCAAAATAATTTTATTTTGATTTTAAGCCAACCAAAAAACTAATTATTTGAGGAAAACGATAATTTATTGTATATGATGGGTTTATGTATTTATCGTTTCACATAAAATTAAAATTGTATGTACAAAACTATCTTGACCGACTATAAGTTCAAATAAAAGACCTAGCTTGACCGACTTTAAAGCGTTGGAATGGGTGGTTGGAGAAAATAAATAAATTTTATTTAATATTGGTGAAATATTGGGAGGGTGTATATAATAAAAGCCATATTAGTTGAGGAAGGTTGCTTTAATGAGCAGAATATATGAAGATAAAATAATTAAAAATTAATATGTTGTGGGGCCTAATAAAATATCAAAAAGGTATATTCCATATATTATGCTACTTCTAGATAACCTTTTAGTGCTAAAGGAAGAAGCCCATGACCCAGCTCAGCATTAATCCGGCCCATTTCAGAATAGTATTATTAACAAAAGATTGTTTGTTTTGGTAAACTGTGATATGAAACTGCAGGTTGCTGTCTTGGAGAGTGATGTTAAAGATAATGGAAACGAGGTTGTTGATGCAGAGGAAGGCAATGGAACCAATGAAGATGGTGATAGTGGTGATGATGATGGAGGGGAAGATGAAGAAGGTGGTGAAGATGATGGCGCAGAAGAAGTAAAGGAGACTAAGAAAGGAACTGCAAGTGGTCCTGGTGAGAATGGTGAAGCTGGAGATGATGATGGTGATGAACCTGAAGGGGGTGACGACAATGATGATGATGATGAAAACAATGATGATGATGAAGATGAAGAAGAGGAGGATGACGATGGTGGTGAAGAAGAGGAAGAGGAGGTGGAAGAGGAGGAAGAGGAAGAAGAAGAAGAAGATGAGGAGGAAGAGGCGCTACAGCCCCCAAAGAAGAGGAAGAAGTAAACAACCAACCACTTTGATCTGCTAACGATTTAGATTCACAAAATCAAAACTTGTTTTGGGTTTTTACCTGAAGAGTATCTTAAGGCATCATCAGCTTCTTTAGCATCCACTGTGTCTCTCTGTTGTTCCATAAATCAAAAAGACCTTTGTTTACCGTTGCAGCTCCTTGTTCACCAGTTTAATCTTTTATATATGTGCATATCTAGCCATTTCAGCGGTCCAATTTAGCAATTATGAAGGACAACAAATTCAATCTTATTGAGTCCTAATGCAAACATAGTACAAAGTTTGATCATCCGAGGATTCACATGATCCAAAATAAACACCATGCAACTCCTCTGGAACACAAAGGAGTTGGCATAAGCGACGAGGCCATACAGATTGCACAAAGATCGATAAACAAATAACCACAATGACTTTATTAGAGTAAGACTGTCTATCAAACTGCATCCAACAAGAGTGAAAAAAAAAACATACAAAAAGTAAAACAAAAACGAAATACTGAATTGATATAAAAATATCAATAAAGACAAGGCGAAACAGAAGAAACATAGATGGGAGAAACAAAAGCTAAATTCCAGAACTGCATGTTTATCATTCTCATGCTCAGCTCACGTCATCTGCAAAGTTTGAGTTCAAGAAAACAAAACCAAACACAACTTTATAAAAAGCTTAAGACAAAAAAAAACAAAACAACAGATGTAAACCAGATTGAAAACAAAAGAAATTAAAGGGACAAACATCAAAACAATATAAAAAACAAAACAACAGATGTAAACCAAAATGAAAACAAAAGAAATCAAAGGGATAAACATTAAAACAATATAAGAAAACAAAACTAGAGAATCTAAAACCATGAATGAGAAACAGCAAGAGAAGCTCATGCTAAGGTTTTATTGTTCATTCCAGACATTTATACCAAAACCAGCTTTAGCGGAAGAGATAGTGAATGATCAGATAATAAAACTCAGTGCAAGTGCAACACTAAAACCAATTACGCCAATAAATAAAACAAAATACAATGTATCAATGAAAACAAAGCTCAACAACTTTCAATCCCCGCCTCCACCACCAATCTTACACAATCAATAGAGAAAGTAAAATTAAATGGCATTTACAAAACTATAAAACCAGAATCTGTAAAGATAAAACCAAAACCAAACGGTATGAAAATAAAGAAAACAAAAGCTTGGTCCTGTGACACATCATCTTCTCATCAAATCTTTAAAAAACACATTCCAGAGAAGATTCTTTAAGGCCGTCAATGAAAACGCTAACCTAAATTTTAAACTATTCATTCCCATCATCATGTCAGCTGAAATTCCAGATACTACCACAAAGCCTTAACCCATTTTATCTACTTATCAATCCTAATAACTAAGCAACTATTACCAATAATGCAACATATGTTTGTCCAAAAGACACCTAAACCAGAAGAATATGGTCAAAACATAACACTAGAGGTTACAAGTGAACGTACCCGTTAACAGTTTGAGTAGCCATTAAACGAGCCACCAGCATCCGAATCTTTACCATTACTCCCTTTTCTCCCACTATCCGAATCAGAATAAGCATTAGGCAGACTCTGACCACCTCCAAAGTAAGACCCCCCCAAACCTGGATCACCAATCCCACCCATCTGACCTAACCCACCACCATGTGTCAACGCACTAGCCAACATCGGATACATGTACCCTCCTCCTCCTCCACCAGCCGCTGCTGCTGCTGCTGCTGCAACCAAAGCCGGATTCCCCAACATTCCACCTCCATAAACCGGATGGTACTGATTCCCCATCATAAACGGAGCCATCCCACCACCGTTAAACACCTGCTGTTGCCCCTGTCCCTGTCCCTGTCCCATCAGACTAATCTTCACCGGACCACTCTGCTCCTGCCCCTTCCCAGACCCAGCAGGCCCCATCGCAGCCAACTGACACGTCGCCATTCTATTAAGAATCCTCTTCTTAGGCTCCTTAAGCGCCTCCTTAGCTCCTCTCCTCGACCCAAAAGTAACAAACCCAAACCCTTTGGCCTTACCAGTGACCTTGTCTATCACAACGGTACACTCTTCGATCTCTCCGTACCCTTCGAACACTCCGTGGAGAGTCTCCCGCGTCGTCTCCCAGGGGAGACCGTACACGAAGATCTTTCTGTGGGTGACGTCACGGTCGGCGGCTTGGAGGACGGAGGAGTAGATGGAGGATCCGATCTGGTGGGAGGAGGAGCAGATGAGGTCCACGAGCTGGTCCTTGGAGTAGGGTTGGAGAAGCTCACGGAGCTCTTCGGGGTTGTATTGTTCCTCTTGCTCAGATTCGGATTCGGAGGAGCTTGACTCGGAGCTTGAGGTTGATGAATACGGCGTCGTTGAGGATTCGGGTTCGTTGGTCTTTTGCTTCTTGTTGTTGTTGGATTTGGATTTGAGGGATTTGCGCTTTTTGGATTCGTCTAGGGTTTTCGCCATTGCTCAGAGAGAACAGAGAGTCTGTTGTTTTGTCGGTTTGTTTTAGTTCTCCTCTTCGATTATCATTAGCTCTCTTTGTATATGTTTTTATGACGGCTACAGAGACATTGTTAGTAACCTATAACGCGCGTTTGAAACTTTAATTTTGCGTTTCGGTATTAAAATTAGCAGCCAATCGCCATTTGTAAACGCTAAATTTGTAATATTGGGTCTCTGGACACATTGGATCCGGGCCAGACCCGGTGATCCGAGGGATCCATTTTCCAGCACCACCCAAAAACCATGGAAGCTTTCACAAGAGTCTAGAAAAAACTTTAGGCGTAAAGGAAGAAACAATTTAACCGAATTGAAAATATTTAAATCAAAATCGAATCAAAAATATACTCAAGCATCTATTGAGTTCAAATGTTTTTACCTAAAAGAAGTGGAAAAAACCAATAGGAATAGATCCAAACTTGAATAGATCCGACCTAATAAAAATGACTTAAATTTAGTTGAAATATTTTTTGTTAATAATCTTTATTATTATATTTATAACATTCAAGTAATTTAAAATTTTTAACGTAAAAATTTTAAGTCGAAAAATATTTATTTTAGTTATTGGTAGTTTATTTTAAGTTATTTTATAAACATTTAGGTATATATGACAAATTTTGACCAAAATTGATAGAAGTTGGGTATTTTATGTCTTTTTCATATCCTAAATACCCGAATCCGAACCAACCTGAAACCGAAAATATCTGATTTGAAATTGAACAAATTTTTTTTATAAATATCTATTGGATCCAAAATTTTAGCCCAAGAACTCAAACCCAAAAAAACGATCTGAAAAAAGAGTGCACAATTGCATAAAATTTTCGGTAGTGGTTGATATTCTCTCCCAGGCACATCTCCCGAGAGATCTATTAACCGTCAGTCAAAACAGCTCCTCTCCCCGTTTTGTCTGAATATCCAGTGGATAAACCGTAAAGTTTTCAAATTCTGCTGCCCTTTTGGGTTAATCCACTGGTCGGAAATGAGTTATGCGGTTAACTCGCCGGGTTCTTCCCCCGACTATGGTCGGAGGGACCGCCGTTCACCAACATCACGACTGTCGCTGAGAGTTTGGCACGAGATCGAGTCTACTGTCTACTATCCAGTTGACATCTTATCTCTGAAATGAAGAAAGGAGAAACAACAGTAGCAGTGAAATCCTGTTCCTCATATAAGTGTTTTACCGGGGAATCCTGGTCTTCTACGTTTACCGTTACGCTCACGACCACCTCTCATCCGAAGCATTAGCTTGAGCATCTCACCTTTCTATTACAGTCTTGGAATCGTTTCAGACTTACTTACTTCTTTTTTACTGACTTAAGGGGATTCCGTTTAGCAGTAGACCACACATGGCTCACCGTAGATTATCCTCTGCTGAGAAAGGAAAAGGGGTAGAGATGGGAACACAACAACCTCTTCGTGCAGCGAGAGTCAGAGCCCCACAGCCAGACAACTCAGACCTAATTCGCAAACACTCCTTGACGCTGATAGGACGAGTCACTAACAAATCTGTGCAAAAAGTCTGGTCACTTATTCCCTTCTTCACTGAGCATTGGAAAACAGAATTCAAGCCAGTAGGAGCAGATCTTGGAATTGGTTTATTCCAGTTTCAATTTGAGACTGAAGCGGATTTACTGGCCGTTTTAGAGCAACGCCCCTACCATTATGCTCGTTGGATGATTATCTTGCAGCGCTGGTAGCCTACTGTATCCCCATCCTTCCCGGCTCTAATTCCTTTTTGGATCAAGGTTCAAGGTCTCCCCGTTCACCTGTGGACGGAACCAACCATTAAATGCATTGGTGAAGACATATGAATATATGAAAAAGCTGAGATAACATCGACGAATGTAAGAATGAGAGTACATGTTGATGGACTCCTTCCCTTGATTATGGAATCAGTTGTTGAGTTTCCAAATGGAGACGAGGTTCCTACTACCCTGGTATATGAAGCTGGACAAACACTGCACCAAATGTCTCAGGCTGGATCATGAATTGAAAGAATGGCTGGTGGCTAGAGCAGAAGCAAAAGCTCTAAAGGCAGTACAAGAAGAAGAACTTGGCAGAACCAACCCTAACTCAGCTCAAGAAGCGGGTTCAGTAATGAAAAAGCCATATTCTGCCAATCCTAATTTGAAGCTAGTGAAGGAAAATCAGAATCAGAATAGATCCTATGGAGGTTTCCATTTCACTGCTTCAAGCAAAAAACAACACAATGAGCGCAGATTTACCAGAGAAACTCCACACCACAAAACACATAAACCGCAACCTAGGAGTTGGTATGATAGAAGTTCACAGCGCAGGTCCTACCAAGATAGAGACAATTCAAGATATGTTCAGGAACGGTCGTCTCGACCTTCTAATGAACAAGCTAACTACCGTCGTCTCCCGGAACCACCAAGTAGAAGCTATTATAGAGAAATCCCAAAGAAAATCACTGAGGCAAAAGACATAGGAGTTAGCTCTTCAAGAAATAACCACGAGCCTTCAAAAGAAGGGGATCCTTCTCAGAGAAGTCAAGCTCCAATCCCCACAACAGCTTTCAATGAAGCCATGGGAGATCAGAGAAACGCTATGCTGCAGTATACAAAAACAGCAGATCCAACTGAGCATAGCTGAGATTGGGTCCTTCGCCAGTTCCTCTAGAACTAGACCCTGCGGAGACATCAAAGATCATGAAACGTAAACCAGGACGCCCCCTGGAAAGAAAAAGAACCAGGAAAATCAACTCAGGATAAATGAGACAAACACAAAAAAGAGGAGAAGAGTTCCTGCACAAAAACCTTCTCCAGCGCGTAGGAAAGGCTCTGCAGCGTCAACAACCACATCAAAAACGAAATCAAAGGCTGGACCTTCAAGGAATAGAGACCAGAACCAATCCACAACAAGCTCAGATAACAGGCCTATCTGCAATTTGATCCCAGCCACAGAGAGGAAAAGGATGGATTTTTGGGTCCACTCTGTTCCCGGTCCTTAAAAATAGCTGGACTGTCAGGGTTTGGGAAATCCCCGGACAGTTCGACGTCTAAAGGAGATGAAAAGAGAATTCTCTCCTGACATTATGTTTCTCATGGAAACCAAAAATCCCGACGCCTTTGTTACTAAGAAGATAGAAGAACTTCAATTCGACAATGCTTTTCTGGTCTCACCAGTGGGTCACGGTGCAGGGGGCCTAGCTATTCTTTGGAAACAAGGAATCAACCTTACTATTCTAAGTTCCTCAGCTAATTGTATTGACACTTGCATTATCTATGAAGGAAAACAGTTTTATGCCTCATTTATGTATGGAGACACAGATTATAAAAAAAAGAAGATTACTTTGGGAGTACCTGATCTCTCTCAATGACTCACGGGAATCCCCTTGGTTTTTGACCGTGGATTTCAACGACATGATCAACAACACTGAGAAAGAAGGAGGACCAGAGCGCTCAGAGAGTTCATTCACTGATTTCCAAACTTTTTTCTCTGAGGGTGACCTATATGACCTACAACACACGGGAGATTACTTGTCCTTGCGTGGAAAGAGAAGTGATTATCTTGTGAGGTGCAGGCTAGATAGAGCAATGGCCAACAGTGATTGGGCTGAATTATGTCCTACAGCATGCTCACAATACCTTGCCTACGAAGGGTCTGATCACCGACCCTTAATAACTGTTGTTGAACCGAACAAAAAGAAGAGACGGGGTCTATTCAGATTTGATAGAAGACTGAAAGATAATCCAGAAGCAAAGGAACTGGTTAATAAAGCCTGGAAGAGTGCTCCTGATAAATCGGTTCATAGAATTGGCATAGTGCATTCAGAATTAATAGAATGGAGTACGACACGATTCTATAACAGCAGGAAACACATTGAGGAAAAGAAAGCTGAGCTTGAAATGGCCCTCACTGACCCAAGGAACGATACAAAATTAATCTCTAAAGTCTCAGAGGAATTAAATGCAGCATATGCCTCTGAGGAGGAATATTGGAGACAGAGAAGCAGAGTCTTGCGGTTAAGCCTTGGAGATCGGAATTCGGGTTACTTCCATGCGGTTTCCAAGAGCAGAAGGAGGAGAAATGCCATAGCTGTCATTGAGGACTCAAATGGATTCCACAATACCAAGAGGAACATATTGAACAAGTCATTGTCACCTATTTTCGGGACTTGTTCACAGCGGTGGAGGGAAATAGAGAGGAAACAATTAACTATGCGCTATCGCCTATGGTGTCAGAAGAAACAAATGAAAAACTAATCCTCACTCCTACCGCAGGTGAAATACGAGAAGCTCTCTTCTCTATCCATGCTGACAAAGCTCTTGGCCCTGATGGCTTTTCGGCCAGCTTCTACCACACCAACTGGGATAACATAGGAGGATACATTGTTAAGGAAATCCAAGAATTCTTCATCTCAGGAAAACTTCCGGAACAAATAAACGACACTCATGTCTGCCTCATGCCGAAAGTAACCAGCCCAAACACAGTGGCAGAATACCGACCCATAACCCTTTGCAATGTTTATTACAAGATCATCTCTAAGATCTTGACAAAAAGGATCCAGCCGCTGTTACCAAGTATTATCTCGGAAACGCAATCTGCGTTTGTGCCAAGGCGAAATAGCAGATAATGTCCTCATCACTCATGAAGTTCTCCACTACCTGAAAACTTCGGATGCTCAGAAACGGTGCTCTATGGCGGTTAAAACAGATATGAGCAAGGCCTATGACCGGTTGGAATGGGACTTCATCCGTCTAGTGTTACAAAGGCTGGGATTTCACCAAAAGTGACTAACTGGATTATGCAATGTGTCTCCACTGTTACCTACTCCTTCCTCATCAATGGTTCGCCCAGAGGAAGAGTCACACCGAGTAGAGGAATCCGTCAAGGAAACCCTCTGTCACCTTACATATTCATACTGTGTAGTGAGGTGCTATCGGGTTTATGTAACAAAGCTCAGGAGGAGGGTTCCCTCAAAGGAATTCAGGTAGCTCGGGGGTGTCCCCGACTAACGCACCTCCTATTTGCG